AAGTCGGAAAATTTGCAAATTTGGAAAGTTGAAGTGATAAGGACTGACTATATAGTGCACCTGCTTTTTCATTAACTCATAGCACTGCCAAGTTCATAGAAGTCATTTCGTCTAAATCTGACAATCACAAGAATAACTTAAATAAACCATTAAAATTTTTATCTTCAAAGTGTTTTAATATTCAATATTTTATCATGTGTAAATATTACATTACCATTGGACAAACCGTGATATCATAGAGACAGAGAAGCTAGTTTGAGTTTCGATTTCCATGTTTGCCAAAGAATCACTGATAATTCTAGTCATACCTATCTCCTTGATTTCTTTGAGGGTTAAATGTAATAATGTGGGTGAAAGCACTTCGTAAATAGAATTGCCTCTAGATTTCAAGCATTTTTATTGATAAGGTAAGCGATAAAGGACATGTTCATTTACCTGTACCCAAATATAGCCATCCACTGCTTTTAGAACCTTCACATTGTTAATAGGGTGGATTTCAGCCAGCAGAGTTAGGCACCTCCATCCTACAAAGTAAAAGAGATTTTTAGTAATGGCAACTGGAATACCCCATGTTATCTTCCCTATCGAGGTCTGAACTTTGAAAATATGAATGTGTTGTCTAACGTATTAGCTCATCCACAAAGAGAAGTAACTTTAAAATTTACTTTCAAATTTCTTAAAATCCAAAATAAATACAGAAAACATCACAGAGGGGAGTCAAGATGCATAGGGCCAGGAACAAGTTCCTGTCCATCCCTCCGCCATTTTTAGCAGAATTCCCAGGCCTCCTAAGCTTTAAATCGAGACCAACACAAATCAATTCAGTGTCACTCCAACTGCAGCACAATAGCAAACATTGTTTTTCTATAAAAAAATAAAGATATCCGTGATGATTATGATTAACAGAGCCTATTAACAGGAGAGGGACTGGCTTTCCTTAGAGGTGGTAGGGGAGTGGCCCTGATAAAAACCCACTTATTTCCTCAATGTCACATTAGAGCAAATATTATAAAAGACCACCACTAGGAGGAAGTCCCTGGACATGGGCTAAATAGAGTTACACCAGAAATCCAAATTTAGGTCAAAGATTAAACCTCAAAAAAAAAAGGAGGAGCTGCTTTATATTTGAGTTCTCACAAAGACATTAAAAGTATCAGGTGTTTCCTCAGTGACTTTATGTTGAATAATGTACAATTTAGGGATGACATGGCAACCCAAAATTGAATCAATATCAGTTTTCACTATTTAAGAAAGTAACCTGTCTCCCTAGTGGCCTAGGGGTAAGTCTTGGAGCCATCCAGCCTGAGTCCAATCCCCTGCCAGGGAATTGACCCACACGTGACCCAGCAGACCTCTCCTGTCTTGCTCCCCACTCCTCTCAGCAGTGTATTCCAGTAAACCCACCTGCTCTGCTCCCCACTGTCTCTGGTGAATCCTCTCACTCCCCCCTCCTCCTGCCTTTCCCCCAGGTCTTATATGAAAGTAAATTAAGTTAAAAAGTAACCTGATATCACAATTTGGGGATCTGACCTCACAGTCACAAGCATTAGACATCTCTATAATCACGCCTTTCTAGAGTATTGGAAAAACATGAAAATGAGTGAGTTGTTATATAGGAACACATACATATATGTGCAGAACAACTGAAAATCAAATGTTATTTGGTCAATGGGAACTTATGTCTTAGGATAAAACCCTCTGTGACAAGATCACACACCAATTCAAAAAACTGTTCTTTCAATAACTAGGACAGAAGTAAAGGTGAGGAACTTTGAAAATTGCCTAATCACTTAAAAATGAAGGTAAGACTAAAGACATTGGTGACAAAGATATCTGTGAAGGAAAGTAAAGTAGAAACGTTTTATAAAATGAGAGAACATCATTTTCCTTAGTACTCTAAAGTATTTCAAGTATGTATAATGAAGTGTATGTTTACATTTAACTAGTTTAGCTATTGCCCTAAAAGCTTATATATTTCAATTATTCACTTCCCTTTAAAATGGGGTCTCTTCAAGGAAGGAACTATCTTCAAAGAAGGAACTATCATCTTCCTTCTTTGGACAGTCCAGACATTTAATTAAATGTTTACTAAAATAATTGGTGTAATTACTTACTCTAGAATCTTTTCTCACTAATATACCATGTGTTTCACATTGAAACAAGAGGCATTCTGGATTAGGATTACAGAAACATACATCCTAATTTAAACTCTATTACTAATCTACTATATACTTTTTTGTAAATCACCAAGCTTTTTTAGGCCTTGTTATTAATAACATAAAATAAAAAATTACAGAAACAGGTTATTTCTATAACGCTTTCAGCCATAAAACTTTGATTCCATGAAGTGATTAAGGCTATATTCTAAGTAAAATATTAATTCTACCATGACCACAGACAAGAAGACAAGAGAAGCACTGTTAACAGAAACTGCATTGTAAAGCATGAAAAGTAAGGTACCCTATCTTGTTCATATGAAAACTAACAGTTTATCTCATTTGTAATGGAAAAATCTGAATGCAATAGAATATTAAAACAACACCTTGAGGCAAACTACATTTTATAACAAATCAAAATGACAAAGGTCCTTTGTAGACAGATAAATATTTCCAAAATATGTGTTTAAAGGATAAAACACTATAATAAATTCTGTTTTCTGGTTATATCATTTCCGAAACTTTAACTAAACAAATGAAATTCTTCCATGATGAACAAGACCTTCCAAATTTGTATCTCTAAGCCAAATCCCTCGCCTGAACTTCTGACTGACATCCAAATTCCTATCTCACATCATCCACTGGATGGGGTATCTCAAAGTTAACATGCCCAAACCTAAGTTTTCTTTCCTTCCCATCCCGTTGACACAGACACATGCAGATGTCTGCTCTACGGTCTGCACATAACCTTAGACGGAGCCACCCTTACAGAGAGCCACCCTGCTCACCTCTTTTTCTCACACTCCTGTCCAATCTGGCAGCCAATCTTGATGAGTCAGATATCTGTTTAAAAACCTCTCTAATAGGGTTTCCTATGATCATCCTCCAAATAAACTAATTTAACTCAAAGGCTTGCCTCAGGCTCTACTTATGGAAAACCAAACAAAGAGCAAGAGTTACTTCAGGGGGCAGGATCACTTTAGACAGGAGGGGCTGGCTGTCTTTGGGAAGTGGATAGAGCCAAAGAATATGGAAGAATATGCCAGTGCATATCTAGAGAGCATTATCAAATTAAAGATCACCATGGGTCTTGACCTTTATGGAGTGTGCTTCATTAATTCTCCACACTAGGGACCAAAAGGAGGTGTGTATTTTTCCTTCAACTCCTTTCCCCTATTGTTCATGAGTTAACCTGTTGGGCATCCTTTCCAATCATACTTCCAGAGAGTACATGTGAGGTAGTAGAGAGATTTCCCAAGGGTTTTGGGGGAAAATGTAAGTTGACAGAGCAGTTGAGGGACAACACTGTCAGATTACCCTGGGCCGTGCTAGTTCTCACCACTATGACTGGCATAAAAGGGGAGCTGAGAAGACACAATATATGTGATACCCAATACAATAACTACCAGTATTCATTCTAATGTTTTCAAAATGGGATGATAGCCTCACTGTAGGTGCATCAAACTTCCAAGACTTCAAGTTTCACAATATGATTCAAACAAAATGTATAATAACATTAGTCTGAAAGTACATTTTATAATAAATTATCACTGTTTTCTTGACAGACCTAGATGGTAAACATAGTGCATTTACTACTGGGTCTACCAGCATAATTGAGAATTTCAAAGGCTAACATGAACAAGGTACAAGAACTGGGAGATTCAGCAAGTGAATCCAAGGTTCTTTTTTTAAAAAAAAAGATTTATTTTTACTTATTTATGCATAGAAGAACTGGGGTGTAAGCCAGAGGTGGGAGGTAAGTGGGTTTACTATAGACAAACTGGGGAGCAGAATAGGCAGATTTGCTGAAATAAACTGATGAATGGAGCAGCAAGTGAGACAGGAAAGGTCTGCTGTGCCTCGTGGGTTAGCTTCCTGGCTGGGGATAGAACTCATGTTACAGCGGCTGCCACTACGTTCACAGTGCTGAGACTTAACCCCTTACAGTCAAAGTTCCTATAGAAACTTAGCTTTCCAAGAGGAACACAAGCAAACTAGGCCTTTTTCTTCTGGGATAAAAGGATCTATTAGCTCAGGAGACCAGGGTCACATACTGGTTTTCTCCTATCTAGAAGTCAGTTCAGCCATGTGCTAAATGCTATCTCACTTAATCTAGCTCAGAAGTGAGTACTACACCAAATACAGAGAAGCAGAGGACGTTAAGAAGAGGAAATGGCACAGAAGGAGGAAGGGGTCTGCTGGGTTCTCCATGCTAACATGGTAGGAAAGCAGGTAAAGATAAGTAAAACAAATAGTGTAGTTTCAAGGCAAGCCTTCTTGCCACCAACATTTCCATAAATTCTGCTAAGGTCCCTGATAAGGTTCCATCCATACACTGGTTTTCCTGGCACTCAGCTGGCTCTGCAGGAGCACAGGACTGCCTTCGAAGCCTCGTGTGGAAAGTATATACAAGGGGTTTTCCCATTACATGCAACCAAAGGAGAATACATCAGAGGGGGAAGTGCTAACAAAAAAAGGCATTTCAGTGCCAAATAAATAAAACAGATGAAAAGCACTGCTGGATTTGGAAAAAACGGTAGTGCAGGGGCTGGATGAGGCCACAGGTGGTTATCACTGCCTGAAAAGAATTTTTCAAAAACATTTGAGCCAACACTGAAAAAAAAATTTACACACAAGTCTATACTTCTGACCCCACTGGGCTTAAGGCATTCAATATTTGTTGAGTTCTCCACAGAAGAATGGGGCTGGGGAGACAATCACATAGTAATAAACTATGAAGTGGGCTTTACAAATGAATAGAATAGATTTTTTTTTGTATTCATGGGCTATAATTCACAATGCATTAGGTATTGGTCAATATTTAACCAAATAGTACTTTAAAAATAGTATTTTTGAAGAATAGCAATCTTTTTCCAAACTTTTACACCAGCTCTGATCACAGAAGGGTTCTTATGTGTTCTCCAAGTGCTAATACCTTTACTGCTATTCACTATCACAGTGTTTTCTGTGCCTTCCTATCTATTTGAAAAAAACAATTTATAAAAGAAGCTCTTTTTCACACTTGACATCACCACTGCCTTTTCCTTCTGTGATAATGCTATGTCAGGGATGCTGAATAAATCTTCACCTATCAACAGACACCTAAATAATAGTTTCATTACCTGGTTGAAGTTCATTCCATCTTCCTTCTTTAGTAGACTGAACTAAACTTGCAGCTAATGAAAAAAAGAACATAATAATTCATTAGCAAATGATCCATTCAGTACTTGTTCAGGTTTACCATTTTTATCTCTTAAAAGCATCCTTTCTCAGAAAACCACTGTTACAGAATAGTTAAATATTGCATATATGCAATACTCTGAGACTTTTGAAAACAGGTAGTTTACTTGACAGGTAACAATAAAAAGGTTCCACTTACCAAGCAAAGTTCTCTCACTGTTGACAGAACAACTAACAACTTGCCAGTCTTTCTCAAATGTATAGAGATGCTATTAAAACAAAAATATGTTTTTAATTCAGAGTTCCATATTAAAAAAACAATGTCATTAATATCAATTCATAACATTTATAAAATGAAGAACAGTTTACTAAAAGGATTATCAATGATTTTATCTTACTAAGAAGTTTCAGGTTATTTTAAGAAAAGATTTTAATATTATAGATAATGTTTGACACTGAAACTTAACCATGATGCAGCAGAGTGGCTCAGAGCACAGAGTCAAACTAGAACCAAGTTCAAACTCTGATTTTCCCACTTTCTAGCTATAAAATTTTAATCAAATTAATCAACCTCTCTATTTCTCCAGTAAAATAGGAATCATAACTATCTCATGAAATTGTTAGAAGAATCAAGTGAGATAAAACAGAGAACTTATTCTGATGCCAGCCACATATAATATACACTCAAAAGTTATCTAGTGATTATTGAGGCAAGTAAAAGTTTAATCCAATTACATAACTGTGATCTCATTAGCTTTGTCCTAGAGACTGCCACAAATACATCTCTAGTATACTGTACTCTCATACTCAGAGGGTTGGCCAAATAATCTTCCTTTAATCCTTATTTTTTATTTTTTCTGATGCTGTTTGAATTTTTTAAATGTTACAAGATTCCATTTCCTTGAATAGTAAAGAAAATGAAAATCATGCAGAAGGAGGATGTGATACGAAAACTGAAGAACTAGAGGTAAACACAGCTATATTAGGCAATATCTCTTGAAGGTATACTCAGAGGATTAAGGAAAGATAGAGTTTTAGACATCAGGAGAGGACGAACTAAGAGAAACAGTAACAGAGCATTAATAAAATAATTAGTACCAACAAATTTAAAATTTGACTGAAAATACACTAGAATGCTAAAGAGTTGATGAAAAATTTGGGGGAGTCAGGAACCAATTGATTAGTGAAAGTGAACTTTGAATTAATAAAAGGCTCAGATTCATGTGAAAAATTCTGGTTCCCTTTGACTCTTGCTTTAATTAAATAATTTATAAGTAAGAAGAATCATGGAAGCAAATATTTAATTCTTAGTGATTTATTCTTTTAATTATAAAATAACATATAAGCACAATCTCAATGTTTAAAACACTACTAAATAAAAAGTCAAGGTTCTCCACTATGCTTATCCAATCCCAACTCTATTCCAAAAAGAGACATGTATGTAATTTTCTCTGTAGCTTTGTAGATGAGTTTTAAATAATATTTATGTGCATACACTGACTAATTTCCTTGTAGGCTTTTTAAATATAAATGGAAGGCATTGGTCCAACAACTTACTTTTATCATGTAACAATATGTTTTGGACAGTCTTCTGTACCAGTATATTACTGGTAGACTTCTTAATAGTTTAATGATTATAAGGATATCCAAAAAACTTACTGGTGGTATTTTACATGATCCAATGAACTTCTTTTACATACATCTTTGTAAACTGTACAAGTATCCTTTGAAAATCAAAGCCTTTAAATGGAATTTCTAATTTAAAAAGTATGCAAGCTCAGGGACCTCCCTGGTGGCACAGCAGATTAAAGCACAGCACTAAGAAGCTAAAGCCACTTCAGCATGAGCTCGATCCCTGCCTTGGGAAGGTGATTCACATGGCACAGCAGAACTCTCCTCGCCCGCCTGCTGTTCCCCTCAGCAGTGTGCTTCGTTGATCTGCCTGTTCTGCTCCTCACTCTGTCTCAGGTGAAGCCTCTCACCGCCCCTGCACCTCTGGCCTCTACCCCAGCTCTGTATGCATAAATAAATAAATCTTTTTTAAAAAAAGTATGCAAGTTCAAAATTCTTCAATTGAAAGCATCGAAATATCTGCCCCCAAATAGCTGCTGTTAAAAGCAATTGGTGGCTCATGAAGTTGAGTAGTGTAGGGCATATGGCTTCAGCACTAGCTGAAGTCGAAAACAGCCACCTGTTAGCTTTCTGGGTTCAATCCAGTCTCAATCTCCACACAGTACGGACCTAAGTTCTATTCCCTAAGCCAGAGTAATTCCAACCTCACATTAGCAAACACATTGTAGGTGTCCATGCCCAAAATCCCCAACAAACTCCATTTTCTTTTCTTTTTTTTCAACAGCACAAGGCAAGTTTATTCAGGAAAGGAGAGAAAAGAGAGATGTCTGCATAGACACAGACTGAAAGATAAGAAGTGCCAACAAACTCCATTTTCAATTGTATTCAACCAGTTTAGGTCATAGTCATTCTTTTATGCACTAATGAGAAGGTCTACAAGAAGGGAAGTGAAAGGAAGAGGAAAACAGGCAGGGGAGAGGCAAGAAGGAAGGGTTGTGGGAATTTGCTTAGTTTTGTATAACTAATACTTTGCTTCTCTTTTGGTTATTACTATGTCTGGAATGTAAGGATGAAGGAAAAAGATATTTTCATATGAAGGAAAATTATAAGAATTTGTCACCAGTGTACCTACCCTATATCATGATATATGCTATATTTTATAAAAAGTTAAACAATTATTGAAAAATAAGGGAAATTAATTTTTTTAAGATTTATTTATTTATGCATACAGAACTGAGGTACTGTCCAGAGGTGCAGGGGTGGTGAAAGGACTCACCCAGGACAGAGTGGGGAGCAGAACAGGCAGATCAATGAAGCACACTGCTGAGGGGAGCAGTGGGCGGGCCAGGAAAGGTTTACTACGCCATGTGGAACACCTTCCCAAGGCAAGGATTGAGTTCATGCTGAAGTGGCTTTAGCTTCTTAGTGCTGTATTTTAACCCGCTGTGCCACCAGGGAGGGCCCAAAATATTTAAGACAATTTTAAATGGGGGAAAGGTAAAGGGAATTACAGGAGGTAAGCCATCTACAGTTCACTTAAACTGGTAAAAATTCAATCAGTTCTTTGATGTGATGAAATAATTGTGTGTCTTCATTATAGGAATTTATACATGCAACAAAATGGCACAGCATTAACTGTACACATTCTACCAATTTCAATTTTTTATTTTTAATATTATATATAGTGTATATAACATAGCCATTGGGAAAACTGGGCAAAGGGGAGACAGAACACTACTATACAAGTTTTACAACTTTGCAAAAGAAAAGGTAAAGGAAAAAATAATCTTGAGAGGGAGATGGGGAAAGTTGCTAACCAAGTACCATTATCCCATTCCAAAGCTCTGTTTCTAGGAGATAACACCATCTTTCTCTTGGTAGCACCTTTTAGACCTAGCATATAAATTCATTCTCTTAATAAATCCATCAGAGAGTCAGCAAAAGATATGTGGAGTGTAAGGATTAAATGTGAATATCTGAGGGAGATTATCTGTGAATATCTGAGGGAGATTATCTGTGAATATCTGAGGGAGAACTATGGGTAAGAGAGGGTGTGTTTGGCAACTATGGTTTTCAAAAACTATGGGTTATGAAAGATGATCTAAATTTCCTATTAATCTATTCTTTTAGTCAATTTATTTTCTAGATTAATAACCATATTTTGAAATCCAAAAAAATCTTTGTAACTTGAAGAAATTTGAAAAACTGCCACTTAGAAGGAAACCGATCACCACCAATCCATTGAAAAACTCTCACTGAAGCCCTCCCACACACAGGCAGTGAGCTGAATGAGCTGGGGATGAACCACTGTGGTTTAAAACACTCCTTACTCTCAAGCACTCACAGTACTAGGGGAAATGAGTATGTCCACAACAGACAGAAGACAGAGAGACTAGTCTATGCTGCCCCCTCTCAATCCATCATCTTAGGATATGCATGGAAGTTAAGCTAAATATACATATCCTTTTTCCTTTCAGCAATAAATCTGGAGGAGAGCAGAAAAAGCCTAAGGAAACTAGGAAGGGAAACTGTGGGCAAATTCTTGATCAACTTTCTCCATTCAACAAAGAGGATGTAGATAATAATATTAATAGTAATACCAATAATATGCCTGTGACAAGATAATGTAAAATAAGGCAAGGAGAATACTGTACTAACAACTTGAGATTTTACTTTCTCTAGACTTTGTGTTGTGACAATGTTTTCTTATTCAACACTGTGTTTCCATATCTGAGAAAAGAAACACTCAATCCCTATTGAGTCACTGATGGAAATCAGGCAAAAAAACTGGAATAGGAAAGAAGAGAAAACTAAACAAGCAACATAAGGGAAGTCTGAAGAGTAAAGTGGCTAGTGAGAAATACAGACTATATAAAGGAGATTTAATTTCAAGAACGTCTAATATTCAATTCTAAACTGTTTTCACATGGGCATAGAATATATAACTCTCCCATATTTGCCCCAAGAATCAGACAAAAACCTTTGACATCAAACAATGCCTTAGGTGAATAGTCTGTGATGGGATGATTAAGGGGCTTGGACCTTATCCATGGATCTTTGAAAAGATAAGAAAAGATTAAATAGAAGCAGAACTCCAAGCCAGAGTCATTAAGATATCCTAAACTTCTGGGAGCTCACAAATCTTAGGGAGGGCACTGGATTTCCAACAGAAAATGGGATAACTGGTTTGAGTCAGTTTTGCTTAAATCTCAAAAGATTAAGAGACTTTAGCCAGAGTTTGGTTCAGGAGTCTTTGCACCTTTTTTTTTTCTTTTTAAGATAATGCTGTTCCTCCCTGGTGGTGCAGTCGGTTAAATAAAGCACAGTAGTAAGAAGTTAAAGATTAATGCTGTCAAGAGGTGATTAACAAGAGAAGAGGAGGAAAGCAAAGAAATATATACTAAATTTTTAGAACATTAAATGGTAATTCATATATAGAAAAAGGAGGCCAAAAAAGGGAAAACTCTAAAAGCAGCACAGTAACTAATGAGTAAGCTATTTATGGTAACTACTACCTCATTTTGTCTGGTTTGATGATCATATAATCCGAAGAAGACATTTCCCTTACTGTCCTAAAAATAAATAAATAAATAAATAAATAAATAAATAAATAAATAAATAAATAAATGTTACTATTTAGGAAGCTGGGATGTTTTAAAATGAACCTTCAATAATGCAATCAATGTTAGCAATAAGTACTCTAAGAAGGTAGCTTGCTGTGCTACCTTTCAAAAAGCCCAGTTAGTTCTCCAGGTTCACAGAGGACAATGGGCCTAGAAAGTAGAGCACAGTGAGTCTGGGAGACCCCATCTAGCAAGGACTACACACTGTGAAGAGACAAGTATTTCCTTACTTTTATTTATTTCTTTATGAGAATATGTATGATGGCTATTAGGAGTTGTTAGTACAATCCATGATATGCTTATAAGTAAAAATTTTTAATTAAAATAGTCCTTAAATGTACCATACTGATACATTTTTAAGGAGCAAAAACACAATGATATAAGTGTGCAAAGAAAACTGGTCACTAAAAAAAATCTTACACATTTTCCAGTTATAGTAAAGTTACTAGCAGGATAATTTTCTTTTTTTAGAACATTTACCATTAAAGCTTCATTATTAAATAATAATGCTTTGAAAGTCTGAGCATATCTAAGGCCAGCCAGGTAATGTAATCATTTAATATTCTCTGAAAGATGAACATTTAATATATTAATTCAGTTTTAATATTTTATATTTACTTGGCATTTTTCTACCAGAAAGTAGAATTGTTCATTTATTCAAAATGAATTTTAAAGTGTCAGATATTACATACAGTTTATTTTAAAAACAGAAAACAGTTTATAAGACTTATTCTTTATTCACTATCTGTCAATAAGTCTAGCATAGAATCTGAACAAAGAGAATATAAGTGGTTAAAATAGTAAATTACACTAAGTATATTTTACCACAGTAAAAAAGAGGAGATAAACATACCTTGTAGGTATAAATAATATTTCCATTTCTTTCAACATTTACTATACGTAAGCTCTCATAATTTTCTTCTAAAATACCTAAAAATAGTAATAAAAATAAATTAATACATTCCAGATGTTCAAAAACATAGCTGTCAAATTTAATATTCATGAAGTCAAGTACAAAAGTATACTGATGGTATCATCAAACATGTAAAAATAGACAAAGTTAGTCTACTGTATTAGAATTCAGAATGATAGTGTCAGTTAGGGAAGAATAAAAGATAGTGACCAGGTAGTATCTCAAGAGAGCCCTCTGAGGAGCTGGCACTGCTGCATGTTAGATGTACAAATAAACTCACCTTGCAATAACTCACCATGCTGGATACTCTTGACCTGTACAACTGTGTGTGTATATTTTATATTCAATTAATTTTAAGTATCTATTAGTTTTTACTTTATTTGGAAGTATTTCCAAGTTATATGAAGTTAGAATTGTTACAGCTTCCTGGTAGACTGACCTATCGAGAACTAACCGGAGCTGCCAAGTATTAGAGTATTCAATTAAAACAAATAAAAAACCAAGTTAACGGGCCCTCCCTGGTGGCACAGCAGATTGAAGCACAGCACTAAGAAGCTAAAGCCACTTCAGCATGAGTTCCATCCCTGCCTACCCCGGAGGTGATTCACATGGTGCGGCAGACCTCTCCTGACCTGCCTGCTGCTCCCCTCAGCAGTGTACTTCAACGATCTGCCTGTTCCGCTCCCCACTTTGTCTCTTGTGAATCCTCTCACCACCCCTGCACCTGTGGCCTGTAGTCCAGTTCTGTATGCACAAATAAATAAATCTTAAAAAAAAAATAAAAGCAAGTTAACACTAAATAAATAAGATCAAGATGGTGTCAGAGAAGATTCCATGCTTTACTTTCAAGAGAATAATCTGTTAAGTCAACAAGTCCAGCAAAGGATCTATTGTGAGTTGAGGCAAAATTGGAAAACTCCTATACACTGGAGTTCAGCACAGGACACTGAGGAAATCCATGCCTCGTTAAACAAGTGGTAAATCCAGAGAAATGTAACAAAGGTCATATATGACCAACCTAAGGCTAATATCATACTAAATGGGAAAAATTAAAAGTTGTCCTTTAAGATCTGTACAAGAAAAGGATGTTTTTACCTACTATTCCTCAAGATAATATTGGAGGTCCTAGCTAGAGCAATCAGACAAGATGATGCTATAAAAAGGGAACCAAACTGAAAAAGAAGAAGTAAAATCATCACTACTTGCAGATGATGTAATATACAGAGGAAACTCTAAAGAATCCACTAAAAAAACTACTAGAAACATTAAATCAGTACAGTAAATAGATTACAAAATATACAAAAATCAGTTGCATTCTTATATGCAAAAAAGGAACAAGAAGAGAAAGAAATTAAGGCTATCTTCCTTACTGCATTAAAAATAATTAAATATTTAGGGCTAAATTTAAAGGAGATAAAGGAACTATACAAAGAAAGCTATAAGGCATTGTTAAAAAGAATAGAAGACAAAGAAATGAAAAGATATTCCCTGCTCATGGACAGAAAGAATTGACATTGATAAAAATAACCATCTTACCCAAAGCAATATACAAATCCAAAGCAATCCCTATAAAAGTTTCAACAGCATTATTCAAAGAAGCAGAACATTACTAAAATACATATGGAACCACAAGAGACCCGAAAGCAATCCTAACATAAAAAGGAAGAACAGAGGCATTATACTCCCAGACTTAAAACTATACTATATAACTGTATTAATGAAAATAGTATGGTATTGGTATAATGGAAAAGAGCTAGAAGCTCAGAAATAAATCTACACTTAGACAGAGAGTTAATCTACAACAGCAGAGCCAAGAGCATACACTAAAGAAATAAAAGTCTCTTCAACAAATGGTGCTGGGAAAATATGATAGCCACATGCAAAAGGATGAAACTAGACAACTATCTCATTCCATGTACAAAAATTAAGTCAAAGTGGATTAAAGACTTGAATATAAGACCTGAAACCATGAATCACATAGAAGAAAGCAAAGGCATTCAATGATGTTGGGGACTGAACTTTAACAGCAGGGAAAACAAAAATAAAAATAAACAAACAGAACTACACCAAATTAAAAAATTTCAGCAGAGTGAAGGAGCCTATCAATAAAATATAAAAAGACACCCCCCCCCCCAGATGTCCTCACCCCTCCCCCAGTAGCAGGCTGGAAGGCAGTACTGCCAAGCTGGCTGTAGCCACTTCAGTGAGAGTTAGATCCTGGCGGCCCAGAGGTGATCCACGTGGCACCACAGACCTCTCCTGTCTTGCCCACTGCTTCCCTCAGCAGTGTACCTGGTCATTCTGTCTGTTCTGCTTGTGACTCTGTCTCTGGTGAATTGTCTCACCACACCTGTATCTCTGGCCAATACTCCTGCTCTGTATGCATAAATAAGTAAAATCTTAAAAAAAAAAAAGTGTAAAGACCCGATTAAATGGGAAAAAATATCTTTACATCATACATCTGACAAGGAGTTAATATTTAAGGTATATAAAGAACTATCAAAACTCAACAACAAGAAAAAACAATAAAAAATGGGCAGAAGAGGTAATAGACACTTCTCAAAAGAACATATACAGATTTTGAAAAGGCAAATGAAAAAAAATTCATCATCCCTTGTCTTCAGGAAAACAAATCAAAACCACAATAAAAAAAAAAAAGAAAGAAACACAATGAGATATCATCTCATAACTGTGAGAAGGGCCCATGTCAAAATGACCAGAAACGCTAAGTGCTGGCTAGGATATGGAGAAAAGGAATACTCATATTCTGCTGGTGAGAATGTAACAGCCAACCCCAACAGAAAACAGAATGGACATTTCTCAGAATATTAAAAATAGATCTACCATACAATCCAGCAATTTCATTTCTAGATATTTACCCAAAGAATAAAAAAACACTAATTTAAAGGGCTATATGCACTACTATGTTCACTGCAGCACTATTTATAATATTTTTGGAAGTAAGGTAAGTGCCCAAGGACAGATAAGTAGATACCCAATAGAATACAATTCAGCTATAATTTTTAAAAATGAAATCTTGTCACTTGTGACAATATGGGTGGAGTTTACCTTTTAGTGGGGAATTTAATGTAGGATGCACAGACACTGATTTGGAAAAATACACACCTGAAACCTATGTAATGTTACAAATGAATTTACAGTGCTAGATGAGTAATTCTGGAAAGGAGTAAGAAGACCATTGAAGTTTGATGTTCTTCATGCTCTGAGAGATAGTTATGTGAATGTATTTCAGATAATTAATTGTTCTGCATGAATACCAGATTTTGATAGAGAGCGACTTTACAAAAATAAATTTAACCTATAAGTTGATCAACTATCTTCTAAAATTTTAGGACATTCCTTGCAATTCTATAGTTAAAGTATTTAAACACCAGTAGATACAGCATTGATAATTTCATCATTAATTGGAGAAAATCGAGTAATTCACCAATTTCCTCAAAAGTAAGTTACTTAAACTTGACTTGCTTTTATCTTACATTAAAATATTACTATGTTGATTTATGACATTCCCTACTCCTGACAGGAAGAAGCTGCTCGAATCATCTGAGTGGTGAAGTAAAGGAATAGCGGGACTGTTTATTATACATGGATAAATATATATTTCAATATATGCTGAGCTGTCAGATACAACTATTAAAAAATAATAATCACTTGCTTCTTAGAAGGATAATATGAATCATTTTATTTACTGCCAAAGAGAACCTGGCAATTTATATAGTTCTCACTTCTGTCTTAACTACATTAATTAAAGAATTATAAACCCATTGTATTGAAGACACTATTTACTGAGCTTCAATTAGGTTAAGATACTTGGCCTATATCATACATCAAAAAAATGGCATAGGCTAATCTCAACCTAGAAAAAGGTAAACAGAATGAACCAAGTTTCCTTTATCAGGCTTACAATAAGAAAATGAATAAACACTGAACAATTCTTCTAAGGTAGATTTCATAGACATCTAAGGAAATTTTTAGTTTCTTTTTATCCTGCATATGACTCAAAACTTCTGGAATGCATTGTGTCAATATTTTCCAATGTATTTTTTTCTTTCAAGATTATAAGGATGCTGGGACAGACCCTCTCAAAAGTCCTCTTAAAAGATGTCAGCTAAGATAAGAAGTTACAGGAACTCTTACAAAGATATCCAATTTCCTTGCAAACGCACAGGTATTTTCAAATCACTAAAACATAAAGAAAAATAAAAATCTTCAACAGGTAAAGATTATAAAAAATAATTTGGTTATTCCATTAAACCAGTGGTTCTTGACTCTGGCTATACACTAGAATTATCAAGGGAGCTTTTAAGAGAACATGGATGCCCAAGCTGTCCCCCAAAGTAGTCTGATTTTATTGGGCTGACTTGCAGACCCAGTCTCTGTGTTTATATCTTTTTTTAGTTCCCTAGGTAAGTCTAATGTTCATCCAGGATTGAAAAGCAGCAAATTACATGTTTATGTTTCATGTTAAACAATATGTACTAAATAGCGTAACGATGACCACTTATAATATAAAATTGACTGAGAGAGCTGAAAGAAGTAATAAAAATAATACCTTCATGAGTGTGTTAAGTAAGAAAACTGAGTTTAAATACTTTTGCAGTTAAGTACATAGTTCTCATCTCAAGGGCATTTTAACTAGACAAAGTTGGCAATGCTGGAAATCTCGAAACTAACGTCTCACCACATACCATTAACCCATCAGCCCTTCTTTCCCAGATTAGTTGCTCATGTTTTAGACACACCCTTCTAAAAGAAGTGTTCAATAACCTCTTTGCTTATTCATCCTGACTCTTCTCTGAGTATATCATCACTGGAAAGTCCAAAGAAGGAAGTTTAGCAATTTCAAAGGAGGAAATGTGGTTTAATTTTACAGTTCAGCATAGTTAGCATTCAAGAAAAAAAATATATAGCATTTAATAGACACTTGGAGAGGTCAACTCACTTTAAAAAAGGGGGGGTATTAGGGTCACAGTTCATATAAAATTGAAGGTGGTTTGAAAACATTAATTTGAAGAGATACATATACCCCCATCTTTGTTATAATTTCAACAGCAATCTAACTGCCTATCAACATATGATTAGATAAAGATGAGGTATATGTATACAATGAAATAGTTCTCAGCATTGAACAAAAATGCAATCCTGACATTGACAAAAACATGGGTGAACCTAGAGAGTTGACTAAGCAACTTCACCACTAGGCACATACTTGAGAGAAGCTCATGTGTATGTATACCAGGAGAGATGCACAGATTAGGGAAAGTATTGACTTTAATAACAAATCCTAGAAACCTCCCAAATATTATCCACCAGAAAAACGCAAGTAAAGTTGGGTTCCCTAGGAAGCATCCTGAGGATACAGTGGGATTAAAACCCACAGAAGAAAGGATAAGGAAGTAGCCCAGTAGTCCTCCATCAGGGAAGCTCTAGAACTGAAAAGGATTGTTAAGTTATCTGATGCCTTTGACCAAATGCTTCATTAGATGTGGGTCACACCCAAAGGGCATAAAGTTCAATGAGGTAATGTTTGAAGGGCCTGACAGCTGAAAACTACCTGATCACACTCAGTATCTGGGACAACACCTTCCTTAAAAGGAAGATGCAAAATAGTATCTATATGTCCATTGTACTGCTGTATACTCACACAATAGAATACTATACTGTAACAAAATTTAATGACCTATAATAAATCTCACACTATTGAGAATTTTAAAAAAGCAAAAAGAATTGTGCTTTCATTTACTTAAAGTCCACAAATAAGCAAAGTGAAATGAAATACATATGGGGGAACCTCCCTGGTAGTGCAGGGGTTAAAGGCACAGCTCTAGCAAGCTATCACCAGCCACTACAGCACAAGTTCAAGCCTCAGCCCGCCAGGGAGGTGGCCCACACGATACAGCAGACCTCTCTTGTCTAGTCCTCTGCTCCCCTCAGCAGTGTACTCAGTAGATCTCCCTGCTCTGCTCCCCACTCTGTCTCTTGTAAATCCTCTCAAACTCCAAAACTCTAGACTACACCCCAGTATGCATAAATAAATCAATCATAAAAATATATAGATAGGTTTAAAACTATAAGATCAAAAGAATGCTATAATATAAAAGTTTAAATAGGTGTTATCTGTGGGAGATGATGCTTAGAGAAAGAAATATTTAAGATGGGCAGAGGGTACTGGTTTTGTTATTGTTGCTATTCATAGTTTGCATATGTTAAAGTGCCATTTTGTATAACTGTTTTAATTTTTTTTTAATTTTCCTTTTGCAGGTGGAAAGAGACTATTTTCCCAAAGTTCAAAGTAGAACCAAGAGCAGAAGCTGTAACTAAATTATATTTGACTAAATGCCATCCTACAAACATTGAGTTTCTATGATTGACTTAGCTAGCTTCCTAGCTACTTTGCCAGGAATATGTTATACTTCATGAGCATTACTTAGCACCACTAAAAATTCTTCAATTGTTTTTGTGGATATAAAGATATTAAGGCTTCAATTTTAGATAGCAAGAGAGGAGATATTACAATAATATAATTATTCATAATTTACATTTGAAAAGCTGAGACTTGGAAAGAAAAATAATTGTGCAAAAGTAGAAAAATAGCTATGCTAGAAATAAAATAGAATGCCAGATTTCCCTGTTGGTGACTCAGATTATAGCAAAGAGGAATTAGCTTGCATTTTCTTGAGCTACCACCCACAGGTGGTTACCAGAAGTAGCAGTTTCTCTTCATATAAGAAGGCTAATGCCTTACCAAAGTGCTCTGTATGAGCAAGGTACAACAAATATTATAAAAAGCTGATATTTCTAATAAATTTACCTTCTGAAGATCCAAGGATAACTCTTGTTTAGTAGTGTGTCAACACACAAGTTTATATTTCTTCACAGATGAGTGAAAAATACAGGAAGTGAAGCTCACACACAGCTTTTCAATCACAACACACATCACTGTAACTTAAGACTGTGGCATTTCACACTTCATCTAACTTCTCATTTGCAGGTACCTGCCATTTAGCTATATTAAGGTGGACATTCAGAGAAGGAATACTTTGTGATAGGCAGCAGGCTTGGAGCTACCTACTGGGTTTTAGAAGTTAAATCTTCAAAAAACATTTCAGGAGATATTTTCATTAAAAAAAAAAAAAGAAGTGAAACTTCTCTATAAAGATACTAACAGCAAACTTGAGAGTTGAGCTACACAAACATGACTTCTTGTCTGGAACTAACAATCAACAAACCAGTAGAGGGACTCCCTAGAAACAATTTTGCTACAGCCTCCTTATGTGGAAACATAAGGAGGGGTTAAAGAACTTTCACCAGAGTTAGGGGGGAAAGACATGTAGAAATAGGTGATCTGACAGCTCTCATCAAAGCCCTCCAACTGTTCAAGAAAGCTACAGAGAAAGACAAGAGCAGCCAGCACATGGAGTGGACAGCCCCTGTGCTCGAGGTAGGGTCCAGGGTATCATTGCTTGGAAACTGAATCTAAATCCTGAAGATGCACCATTACGTACAGTAAGCTTTTCTTAAAAGAAAAAAAAAACAAGTAAAAACTGGGAAATCACAAGTTCCCCTTCTTCAAAGATTTGATTGATAAAGGTTTTTGATAAAGGCTTGAAGATTCAAATGTCACTTTTCACTCCATCATCAAAACCAAAATACATAATTTTCGTGACAGATGGAAACCAAAACCTCACTGAGCATCATTTTGTCTCAAATCCCCGTTGCCAGCTGGCACAGGTGTTCTATTAAGGGGTGAGAAAAGTTTGGCTTGGTGCTTCTTTGGAAAAAGGCCTGCTGTCAGCTCACTGTTCCCAGCCTGAAAACTTTAGACAGATGCAGAAATACATCTCACAAATGTGGGAATAAACTGCTACTATTAAGTATGTTTATGGTTTCCTTGGTGGCCGCGATTTAGCTTTTCTTTCTCCTAAGGCAGGAACTGCCCTAGTCTCTGCCGGGCTCCTGCCAGGGCCATGAATGCCCAACGCAAGCTGAAAAGCCCACGAAGCACAGAGAACAAGGCTCCCCCACTCTGCTCAGTTTAGAGCAGCTGCCCCTCCACTTCCTGCCCAGATGGGAGATGCTGACGTACCGCTGGTGGTCCCCAGCCTTTCTGTTAGAGCTAGAAGCAGCAGTGAAAACCGGCCGCGACCCTGCCAGGGGGCTGCCCCACCAGCCTTCACCCAGGGAGGGGGGCAAAGCCCAGTCCCTAAAAAGGGAAGGAAGAGCACCCGGTAGACACAGACTGGCAGGGACCCCAGACTGCCCCACGTCCACCACCCCGCCCCGCCTGGGGTGACCCCAGGTATGAATGGCCCAAGACACCCCCGCCTGGCACACCCTTCCCCCAGCACACGCACACGCAGCGCGCGCGCGCCTCCCGCACCTGCGCAGCCACCTCCAGGCCCCTGAGCTGCTGACGCCGCTCGCTGTGCCCGCAGCCAGGGCAGCACGTCCTTCCCGAGATCGAAGTCGACGTCGAGACAGAGAGCCATCGCCCGGACGCGGCCACTGGGCGGCTCTGAGGCCCCGCGCCGCCGGCATTCCCGGCCCCCGGCGCCACCTCGCCCTTCTCCCCAGCGCCCGCCCCCTCCTTCCTCCCCCGCCTCCCGGCTCCGGCCGCTTTCGGTTCCGCTGCGTCTTGGTGGGAGAAGCCCCGAGAGAGCGCTGCCTCCCCACGCCCCCCGTGGGGCACCGGAACGGCGACTGAGGGAAGGAGGACAGAGCTATTGGGAGAACTTGTATTTTTAAGGGCCTTGGAAGAACTGTAGTTAGATCAATGATTTCCAGACTTCACACATTAAATATGGGGCTACGCTCCCCCTGTCCCCGGTGATTCCTCTGTGCAACAAAGTGTGGCAATCACTTGGTTAGAGAGAAGTATCAGTTTCTAGCTGAATCACTTGATTAAGGTTCTTTAGTCGCAGGGTCAGAATGGGGGGTAGGAGGGTGGCGTCTTGGGCCTACCAGACCCTCCTGGGACGGGTGCAGTGTGGTGCAGTGTGGTTATTAGCAGTATTTAGGTGGTAAATAAAACAGAGCTTGTGAAGATGATTCTGTTTAAAAAAAAAAAAATGCCAGAGACACTGGAAGGGATTTTAATCAGTTAAGTGCCTCTGCCTATTTAAGTCAGGGTTCCTTACATGGGTTTCCACCTAGCTGAATTGTTGTAGATTCGTTCTGTAACTAGCTTTTAGTTACAGAAGGAGACCACATGGCGAGCCAGACCTCTCCTGACCCGCCCGCTGCTTCCCTCAGCAGTGTACTTCGTCGATCTGCCTGTTCTGCTCCCCACTCTGTCTCTGGTGAAGCCTCTCACCGCCCCTGAGCCTCTGGCCTGTACCCCAGTTCTGTATGAATAAATAAATAAATCTTTAAAAAAAAAATTTGTGAAGGCTTCATAGCAGGGTTAATAGAGAGGCTGTCTCTCTTAAAGACACTTCTTTGAAGTTCAGCATTAAGAATTGTATGTATTTGACTAGAATTTAGTCCTATGGGCAAAGATGCCTGTAACAGAAGCAAGGAAATAGTATTTTAGGCAATGAGACTGTGTCCAGATAAAAATAAGAGTAGTATACTAGAGAAAACAGAGAGAATGAGTAGCAAAGAAACAATTATAGGTCTGTCGTAGCACGAAATCAAATTCTAGACTTTGGCCTGTAAGAAAACCTCTGCTGTGGAGGTTTCAAGGAAAGATTTCTCTATTCCAAAAAAATAAGACATGGGGAAACTAGGTTTCTTTTAGTCTATGTGCCTGGAACTTTGCCATTCTTGCTCCAACTCTGAAGATGGAGTTAGGAAGAGCCCAGAGAATATAATGAAAAAGAACCCTGACATGTCATTGTTGGCCCAGTCCTACCTCTGGCCTTTCTGATATCAGAGGTAACAAACTTCCTTATTGTTTAAGCTAAAATGAATCAGACTTTTCTTTTTTGTTGCAACCAAGAACAATTTCAAGGAAATATCACTTAAAAATACTGGTAGCCTCACCCAAGAATGCTATAGTTATTAAAAAAAAAATTTTGTTTGAGCACTTATTAAGACACTTTGTTCTATATTTTTGTATTCTTAAGGAGGTAAGCTTGGACCCCGGGAACCCCAGATATGCCAAAAATAGTTCCAGAACCCTGACACCCTGAGAACCTCTGGATAAGATCAGACTTCAAACACAGACGACCAGCAGACTTTTCAGTTATGTGAGTCAATAAATTTCCTTTATATGTATGCCAGTTTGGATTGGGTTTTCAGGACTTATCTATAAGCACCCTAAATCAGGGACTCTTAAACTTTAATGAACATACAAATGACTTGAGGGTCTTTTTAAACTAGATTCTGATTCAGCAGGTTGGGATCGAGTTACATTTTAACAAGCTCCCAGGTGATGTTGCTACTGCTAGTCCATACATAACAGTTTGAATAGCAAAGTCGTGAGACTTAATGCAAGAATCTTTTCATCTGTGTATTGCTACCTTTCTGTTTTACCACAGAGAAGGCCGAGTGGGGATAGACTTGGATGGGCTGGCTATGGAGACAATCCAAAAGGTCTAGGTTCAGAAAGAAATGTAATGGTGATGAATACTGATTCTATCAGTTACAAGCAAGCCATGCCCTGTAAATTCTAGAAAGACCACAGAGATTCAGAAACTGAGGCATGGGATTTTAGGAAAAAAGAGGATCTTAGCCAGGACTTCTGAAAAGCAGAGCCTGGGCAAAAATTAAAGTGCTGAAATTTTATAGTAGAGATGCAAACACAAGGCAAGAAAAGAGCTGAAATGAGGCAATGAACTGAATCTGCACTTAGTGCACTTACAGCTTGAAGAACAGTATACTAGCTACTATATGATTTAAATAAGGGTTGTTCCTTCCTCTGCTAATTTGTGACTATGTTATTAAGTTTCAAGTCTGTGTTGTTAGGTACAGAACAGAGAGCTCACTGCATGATGTAGGAGGCAATGGGGTGTAGAGTCCTCTAAAATACAGCTGTTCTGTGTATCACATCACAACTGGGTGATCCTACTAGCTGAACATCCTAAATTTAAGAAACCTTTCCTGTAGGGTATATGAGTTAAAAATTGGGCTTTTTGGGCCCTCCTGCCATTAGCATCCATGACTGGCACCTGGGTCTTGCACATCTCTAAGTGGGGATACCTGTGGCAAGGGGCGAGGGGTGAGTAGGGCTGCTCACTCTGAGGCTGGACGAGAACAAAGGGAGAACAGATGAGAGCAGTCAGCAGGGAAATACTGAGAGAAAGCTGGCCTGTCCCCTGATGCAGCATTAAAGGCCTGTAATCAGCTCTTCATCTGCGAAGACCGGTAATGAACTTACCCAGCCTGGAATGGTTGCAAAGCATTTACCTATGTTCAAACTTTTCAATGGTTTACTTAATGTCACTCAGTAATAGTACTGGAGAACTATACAACAGGAGGTAGAAAAGATGTGGTTTCCTAGAGAATTTTAAAAATATACAAGATGTTCAAGGTAGATGATCCATATGTTCCTCAATCACCAATTCCAAGTTCTGCTATAAGGATGTCTTTGATGCTATGTCTTAATATTTTAAAGTTCTGTTCTAAAAATAAAAAGGAAGAACATTGACCTCCTATACTTGATCTGAGAAAAGAATCTTATTTAGATATATTTTAAAATAAACAGAAGACACATTCCAATTTCTTACCTGTTTTAAAGGGAATTCCAGATTGTCTCAATTGTTATTGCTATAGCTAATAGTTATTGCTAGGAAATATAACCATATAATTTTTTAAATAAACCTTACATATATGTTAATTTTTTTAATTGAAAACTTACCTTTAATTCTTAATTTTTTTTACTTTACTCTGATTTCAGTAATAAGATTTTCCCCAAGTTTTAAGAAACCATCTTCCTACTGATTTGTGACAACTTTTTTTCCTTAGTAGTTGAAGAGATGACCTATGCCTGAGCAACATCATATATCATTTTTGTTTTCTTAGAGCAGCTGACATTGTTTAGTAATGATTGATAAAACAACTGATTATATCTGCTTGCTTATCATTTACAATATTAGTGTGAGAGCACTCTCCCTTCAATTCATTGAAAAGACTGACATAGATTTTTAAGGAAATGTTCTAAAGAGTAGCTCTCTGATTTGGAGGGAGATAAGGGATTATGGTTTACAAGTAGACTAGACAAGTCTGACTCAACTCTAAAGGAGCCATGCCGGATTAACTCAAGACACTAAGGAAGAATTAGGGTAAAATAGAAAGTGTTAAACATTTATGACAGCAAGAATGTTCACCAAGTTCTTTTTAAGGTCTAGCTGATGAGTTTTTAACTGTGTGGAATTACTGGATCTCAAATAGGCAGAACAAAGGAATGTAGAAAACAGAAAAGGATCATCCATGAAATAGTTAATCATGTATTAATTGGGCTGCCATATATAATGCATAGATTTTAGTAGTGCTTGTAATGACCAGAGTGTGGAAAATGTTGTTTATTCTACCTCAGTTAGAAAACACTCCATTTCTAAGTGGCTTCTTATATTTTCTTCTTGTTTAGACTATCATTTTAACACATTCAGTCTGCTTGTAATTTTTTTTTTCACAAAAGTATTGCCATTCTCTCCCTTCTCCTCCTTCTTTATTTTATTTTTTAAATATTTATTTATTATTTGTGCATAGAACTGAGGCCAGAAGTACAAGGGGTGAAGAGGCAGATCTCCCGGAAACAGACTGCTAAGGGAAGCAGCAAAGCAGGATGGGTCTGCTGTGCCAAGTGTGTGTGTGGGGGGGGAATAGATCTCAGGCAGCAGAGATGGGCCTTCATGGTGGCAGTGCTGAGACTTAACCCCTTGCCCACTGAGAGGCCCCCCCCTTCTTCCATTTCTTTGATCCTTATTCCTCTCCCGTTCCCTTTGTTCTCTATTACCTTTTGTTCCTAAATAATACCATCAGAAGGAAAGAAAGGTAAGCATCTTCATAGGAAGGGTGGAGGGCAGGGTGCTAACCAAAACTTGGATCTCAGAGCCCAACAAGGAAGAAGCAAATGTTCTCAGAGAAAAGGGTGTCACCCAGCCTGAGGTGTCAGAGTCTAATGAGGACATCCGTGGGCAGGAAGGTGGGGGCTGATTGTACCACGTGGAGTATCAGATTTCAAGTGCAGAGGGAGGGCTTATGCACAGGCTGGGAATGACAGCTCAATGGGAGATGGACTATTTGCATGGGATTAGCCATTTAAGTAGATATAGTAAGATTAATGGCAGAATGTTTCTCCCTGATAGGCAGGGAATCATAAGAATGAAGACAAAAACTAAACTAAACCTTGTAAAGTTGGATTAGAGATATTGGTGTAAGCTAGGATGTTCACTTGATATATGATGATGATGATGATGAATGATGTTGATGATGGTGATAGAGGGGTGACAGGATGAAAGAAATGTAGATACAATGTAAATATGTGTATGTGTGGGGCACATATTTCCTAGCTGTGTCAGTGAAAGCCTGGAAGTGGCTATATCCCCATATCAATTAACATACCTGGTGCA